GCTGAAGACTTAATTTGTGGCCCATGGCAGTGTAAGTAATGAAAGAATCCGTTAAGTTACAGGGCATGTCCACGGGTTAAGCAGGGAGCTTTTTGTCGTGCTTTCTAACAGGTAGATGGGAACGTGGCGGAGCTGGAGGGGTGTCGCTGTGCTTCCTGCACAGCCTACGCTGCCCAAAACGCCCTCGGGGCAGGGAAGGCAAACCAGGAACCCAGGTCCTCAAGGAGATGCTGCCGTGAGGCCCGCAGTGACGCCCTCCAGGCCGGGGTAAGGCGCGGAGCTGCCACTCACCGCACACGGGCGCGTTGTCATCGCACTCCCAGGCGTAGCTCTCCACCTTGGGGTGGCAGCCTGCTTGCTCGGCCCTGCCATAGCAGCAGTCGTGGTCAAAGCAGCACCTGAGAGGTACACAAACAGGCCTGGCCTCAATCATACTGCGGTACTTTACGGTTTTAGAATCTGGATATTTTGTATCACCGTGTTTCTACAGTGTGTGAAATAATGATTAATTTATCTGTGTGTTCAAACTGCTCCCTGTGGGGGAATTGAAAGAGGAAAATAATTATTTAATAGATCACTTGAACAAATTAATGTAATCAGTGATGATCAAAATTAGCGTCTGATGTACATTGAATTAGGGGAGGTAATGAGGACCTGAAATTAGCTTGTGACTCCTTGCTGCAAGCTGTAACTCTGCCCTGATTCTGTGGACAGACCAGATGCATCAGCAAGTTCTTTGGATTCAGTTACATGTTTCCTTCTGGTAGCATAAAAACAGCGTATTACAGAAAGCACACGATTTCTGGATGGTGTTTAGATTGCCCAAGGAACGTGTGTCTGCATGAGAAGTAGTTAATGCTGTGAGCTCTCACTTTCTCCTTATGCTTATTAACTAGTTACTTGGTAATTCCACACCTATCATCATTTAAAGACCCTGAAATACTTTATTTATTTATTTTTAAGTGACTCCTAGAGGGCCTTTGTGGCAGGGCTAAGTAAATCAACGGCAAGCTGACTTGTTTTGCTATCGGGGTCTGTTGTCATGAGTTTACAAGGAAATAGTAAATTCTGTAAGAAAATATTGCTTACTGAAGTTTTAAATAATTCTGGTCTTCGTTAAAATGTAAGTGCAGGCACTTCAGGATTTTACACTGCTTTTGTAAGATCAAATGTAAGGTTTGTTTTTGTAAACAATTGATGCCTGCCATTTATGCAATTATTCCAGTGGAGCTGCTGGAGAGAGTCCAGCGCAGGGCCACAAGGATGATCAGGGGCCTGGAACATCTGCCCTACTAGGAGAGGCTGAGGGAGCTGGGCCTGTTCAGCCTGGAGAAGAGAAGGCTGAGAGGGGACCTGAGCAGTGTCTATAGGTACCTCAAGGGAGGCAGTGAGGAGGATGGTGCTGGCCTCTTTTCCCTGGTGGCCACTGATAGGACTAGAGGAAATGGCCACAAACTGAAGCACCAAAAGGTCCCCAGGAACTTAAGGAAAATTTTTTTAACAGTGAGGGTGCCAGAGCCCTGGCACAGGCTGCCCAGAGAGGTTGTGGAGTCTCCTTCTCTGGAGATCTTCAAACCCGCTTGGATGCAGTCCTGTGCCACGTGCTCTGGGTGACCCTGTGTGTGCAGGGGGTTGGACTAGGTGATCTCTAGAGGTCCCTTCCAACCTTAAGCATTCTGTGATCCGTAAAAATGTCAACTGCAGTAACCTACTTGAATAACTCAATTACAGCTATTCTTGCTTGAAATGAAGTATTCCTGAGATTTCATTTAATTTGTTTTCAAGGATAATCCTTAATGTAGACAGCTCACAATGCAGACCAAAACCAAGAAAAGCTGGTAAGCATGTTGGACTCTGCGTGTTAACTAATGCAGTTTTTTTGGTTGTTGCAGCTGCTGAAGTAGATCAAATACACTGACTTTGGACTTTTTCCTCATGTGCAGTTACTAAAACCTAGACAACAAATAACTAGCTGTAATTCCTGAAGCCGGAAGTTTTTTGCTGTTTTGGGACTGTGGTAAAGTGAAAAATATACCCACAGGGAAGATTTGCAGGCTGCAGATACTCCAACATTTGTCTTTGGGAGGAACACAAGGATCGGGTTTAACAACAGTCTTCTCTTTCCATGTGTTCCCAGTCATTAAAATAGCAACTGCATTTTACAATATTGTGTCTAAAATAACAGATTTCATAAGCAAAAGCCTAGAATACCTAGACAAAGATTATAGGAGTTCTAGTGTAATGACAGGTAGAATGTCTAGGCAAAATGTTCAAATGTGATCTTTCCATATATTCTACCCTAAGTATGAGTTTCATGTTTGTTTCTTTTTTTTTGTCAGTCTGTGTCTGATAATACAGCACTTCAGATAAAATACATGATAGGTAAGTATAGTCCTATAAACTTGGAAGTATAAAACTGTTATTTAACTAATCTAACCAGGAAACTATCTTCCTCACAACTAATTTTCCATTATAAAATAAATTCATGGTTGTCAGTATGCTGAGATATAGTATTAAATGTGAAAGTTTTGTTTTTAGAACTATTTTAGGAACAATTCCTAATTCCTTCATTCAAAAGCTGTTTTTTTTCAACAGGCTGATTTTATGCATAATTCTGGGTGCATTATTTTGAATACTTATAAAACAAGGTGGATGAAAGTAGCAGGAGAACAGTTTCAATTGTGGGTGTTCTCATAGCTGGCTTGCAGGTGCGAAGACCCGATTCTCCAGGGTTGCTTCGGGTCTTGCTCTCGGCCAGCAGCAGCAGCCGGTACCAGTGCGGTCAGAGCTGGGGTCCAAGGCAGACTCAGGCAGGTACACAGCAATACAGTTCTAATGTTTCAGATTTTCTCAACACTCCCGGGTGCATTTAAAGTCCAGTTCTCTCACATTAAATAACTTAATTCTTATTTTAGTCCTTTTTACTTGGTCCTCTGTGTAAATTCAGCATGTAGCTAATCATGTAAGTGGATACTCTTACCAGTCAACTCTGTCCTTGGGCCAGCCTCTTCCTCCCAGGCCGCAGTAGCAGCCGTAGCGCAGGTAGGCAAAGGGAGAACGTCCCGTAGTGCATCTGATGGCTCCAGCTAATTCGAGAATTCCTCTTCGGTTCCTCGAATGAGCTTCTCCAACACTGCCTTTATAAATTGTGGAGGGAGGGAAAAGAAACTCTTTACTTGGTATTGGATCATTCCTCCAGTACTGCAGTTACTTTTTTTTTTTCATAATGTTAGTAACAAATGCTAGTATTTAATACAGCAATATGTTGTTTTGGTTCTGGCTGGCTGTCCTTGGCCCTGCTCTTTGCGAGCAGAATACTAACTAGCACACTCAGTAGCTGCAGTGGTTTCCTCCCATCAAGGCAGGATGTAATAGCAAGGTTAGTCATTCCTATTCTTAAAACTGTGGCTACAGCAAGCATGTGTTCTGTGGTGCAGATCAACTAATCTGCTAAGACCAGATGCCATGAGCATTACAGGATTTTCTCATAACCCTAAAATGCTATTTTGCCTGTGTTGTTGTTCTGCAATGGTGTCAGTTTGCAGAATGTAGTGCTTTACACTTGTTAAATTGTCTTCTGTAGATGGGTGTCTGCTTTCCAACCATGGAATCCTTGTGTCTGAGCTAGCAAGTGATTATTTATTTATTTTGTCTTGAAAACATGGCCAGGGAAATTTGAAGAGGATTTTCCTTAAGGGAATTGTCTCATCATTATTTCTGCAGAGCAAGGACATATTCAGCAACTTTTGTTTAAGCCATGTCACGTTGGCACTAAAACCATAGGTCAAAGGAAGTGGATAAATGTTCAGACACCCTTTTCTTAGGGCTACTTTCTAATTTCCAGCAGTTTGGCAGTGGCATGTGGATGGAAGTTAGAAAATGTGTGTTATCAAACCCTGCCCTGCTTGTTTTTCACGTTGATCCAAGACCCTCAATGGTTAAAGGCAGCATTTCTCAGCTGTGCAGGTCTTTTCCAGGTTATTTGCATCAGTTTTTACAAAGTCAGATGAGTATAAACCAAGTTAATGGAGGGCTACTAGAAAGAGCTGTCTTACCAAAATAAACCCTGAGCTTAATCAGTGTTAAGTGGAACAGTGTATAAGCCTTACCCGTCTGTACTGGAAGAAGGTTAAGTTGTTGAGTGACTGCCAATGCCCATGAACGACTGAGCGCAGAAGAACCCTTTGGACTTCGTCATTGAGGTCTTTGATATTTATTTTCTTACAGAGACTATCATCAGGTACTGGAAGATCTGTCAGAAAACTACTGTCCCCAAGGCAGCTTTTGCAGTTGAGTAGCTTGAAATGTACGGGATGTTGGTGACCTCCAGCACTAGCAATTTCATGAAACTAAGGGATTTAAATACCCTGTGAAATCACCCCATTAAGGAACGAGGAGTGTTTGGTGCGTGAGAATGGTAAAAATGCTTTAGAAAGTATGCTCGGGGCAAGTCCATACTGACGACCCTAGCTAGACTTTCTGAGACGGTATTTTAGGACTTTTCTGACTGGTGACTATTCACAAATACTGTTTTCTCCTGATTCATAGATGTGACACAGGGAAAGGAGCGAATGGTAAAGCAGGAGTGCTTGAACTTGCTTTTGCCATTAATTACCAGTAATCTCATCTTAAGGAATTAAGCTTTCTTGGCTGTGCGGTCACTTGCAGCTCCATTTGCACTAGAACTTGGGAGAGTGGATAGCATATATGGGGTCACTGCTCTTGCTGCATGGAACAATCATACCATCAGTTGTTGAAGCACCTGATCCTCTCCCTCTTCCCTAAGGAGTGCAAAATGTCCTGAGTCGGCTCTGGGAATCCCTGTGGGTCTGGGTGCCAGACGAGCAGTCACGGTGTGCAGCTGCCACGCGAGCATCTCCCTCCGTCACCTCTGAACGAGCACTTGAGCTCTCGGTAGCAGAAGGGTACGTTTGAGGTACTAACAGGCTGGTACATTTGTGACAGCACTGAAGTGTTGTCCTCGCTGCCAGCTACAGGTTCAGTGAACTCCTGTCTGCAAAAAACTTTGCAGTAGGACTTCAGCATTACAAGTGACAACCACTTGAAAGTTGACAGAATTCTGGCTGTGCTGTTGTTGGTAGCTAGTAAGGACTGAAGGAGCCGCGTTAATAATTAATGGCCAAGATGGGCTTATTCTGCATTATGGTAGGAATTTTAAAGAAATCCCTAAATAAAGTGAAGAATTGACTCCCTGTAGCCCTGTTCCTGGCTGCAGAGGAAGGGTAGCACTGAAGTGCTACAGGACAGGAAGAGGGAGCCAAGCATTTCCAAACTGCATGCCTGGCTGCAGAGGGCTGCTTGCTAACTTTTGACAAATGCCCATCCCTTGATTTACATCTGTGCAACACAGAAGTCATCAACCGTCCCCTCTGGAGGGCCCAGGTGTAATTCTTTGAAAGGTGCCATAGAAGTTAAACAAAGGAGATAAATGTTTCATCCCTGCTAATTCTTTGTATTACAACATCTGGAAAGCTGGGTAAAGACCACTGTATTAGATGCTCTAAACATGACTGAAGAAAAAATTCTATCGCCACAGCTTTGTAATCTGAGTATAATAAAGGAAAGAAGAGACTGTCCTCAAACCAGCAGAACTGCGGAAACAACCAGCATATCGGTACAGTGATGGCACTAGTGTGTTGGCAGCACAACTGAGTTTCTGAAATCTTTATCAGAATTTGCATGGAATGAAAACAGAGCGATGTGACATATTGCTGCATGTTTCCAAACTTGTTACTACTAAGGTACATTTTTAAAATCTTTCTACATGCTTTTCCTGCTTTTTGCAGAGACTTCTCATTACCTTTATGGACAGGAATATTCCTCTAGGTTTGATTATGCATTCCTAAAAAGCAGTATGATATCACCACTATTATCTGCCTTATACAGGTACATCTCTTATTTTAATAGCAAAACAGGTCTTTACTGATTTGTTTTTGCCATGCATCTGGTGTGCTGCTGTACCAGAATGTGGCTGGGGAAAACGGCAGGGATTTGGATTGTTTTTGTTCCTTTATAATGTGCATGAAAAGGCAAAAAAGACGGTATTTGGAGGTCGTAGAAAATAGGTACAACTGAACACGGAAAAATAATTCAGTCAGTTTGCTATGATTCAAGCCTAGTTTTGGTATGGCTGTGTACTCCAGTGGCTGTGCACGTTGCTGCTTTTGTTGAAGTTCTTGTTCTTGAAAGAAAGCTTTAAAGACAGGTATTTGCAAGGAAAAAAAACTTGCAAAGTTTTTATGTACAGCAAAGTCCGATATAACTGGATAGGAGGTGCCTGCTTTAAAAGTTGAAGGGAAAGCAAAACTTTACCAATTTTGAGACTACCTTAAAAAAATAATTGCAGAGGAGAGAAAAAAAATATGAAGTTGTTCTTGAGATTTTAACAACAAAGCCACAGAGATCAAAAGGCAAGAGGCAACTTTCTGAAGACTGAAATTATATAAACATTAAAGACAGCCTGAGAGAAAATAACAGTAAGGAGTCACTACGTTCTTCTGTTGTGCTTAATTTCAAGTCTGTAATTTCTGTTACCCAAATTAGAGTCCTGCTGCACATGGAAAACTCAAACATCATTGGTTCATTGTCTGTATAAGCCCTTGAGAGTTCAGATTTTGCTGTTGTACATTACCATGTAGTAGCTACCATGTCTTTGAAAGATATTTTCCACTATAACTTCTGTCATTTTTTTTCCCACACTTTTCTGGTCACATAGTTTTGTTAAAATGTAAAGTTAAATCCAGTCATTTCTGTATATGCGTGGAGGAAATAATATGTTTTAGAGACATAGCCCTTCACACAAGCTCTTTTGTGCTTCCTATGAGATTTTTCTCTTTGTAATTGGCACAATGCAAAAATAAAGTACATATTGCAATATTTCCTTTGTAAAGTCATAGCACTCCAGTTCTTCGGAGTTTGAAACGTGGAAGGACTTTGATGCATGTCCAGTGTCTAGCTAGAAGTAGAAACCTCTGAACAACCGTCCGCATTGTGGAAACCTGGATCTTTGCTTTGCTTTGCAGTGGTTTCATGTGCCATCAGGAGTGGCCGTTCTCAGCCCCTCTTTCTGCCTGGCTGCCCGGTGTGCTAACTCTCCAGACCGTGGTGATGTGGTAATCTGTTTGAAAGGATAATTTGCCTGTTTTGATTTTTGTGGATCAAGCATTGAGAAACAGGTAAACTGTGTTTTTCTTCCTCCTCGCTCGCTGCCTCCAGAGGGGTGACTGTGATCTGTGACTCAGGGCCGTAGGAGCGGCGCCAGGCTCTCCCCACAGCCGTGTTTCGCGGCTGGTGGGGGCAGCGGAGCCCGACGAAAAACCCTGCCGCTCCTGCCGAGGTCTGTGCGGGGCGGCGGGCGGCTCAGTCGGGTGCAGGAGGGCTAAGAGGGGCAGCCTGAGGTCAGCGAGCGGAGCTGGGGCGCTCAACTGCCTCAAACGGTAAATTGGCCCCACTATGCAAGTACCTTCTTGATACTCGCCTGACTGCGCTGCTTTTCCTTGGACCCTGCTTCGCTCACTACACAAAAAGGATCTGCTGTAAGCATGAACTGAAGCATTTGGCTTTAGGATTTTTCTATTCGCAGGATTGGTTTGGTGAATTTGCAAGCTGGGGGAAGGGCTAGAGAGTGCAAGAAGACATAAGAGATCTTGCAATTAAGGCAGCTGAATGGGTTTCTGGCAAACTGGATTTCATCCTTGCACAGAGACTCAATATAAGGCTAGTTTGGTCACTTCAAAACAATATTTACTAGTAGTATGTTCCCAACCTGCTGCATATGCAGGGCTATATAAGATACCATGCTACTCCAGTCTTAGGTGGGAGATGGCCTTTGAGGAGGGGGATTCTTAAAAACTCATTTTTAGTAGTAGGGAAATGCAGCTTGTAACATGTCCCCATGGGAACTATTATCCGTGGATGCTTTTTAGTGTGCCAGCCCAGCTCCCTCTCTGCAAAGCTAAGTTTCACAGAAGTGACAGGGGAAAAAACGTAATTCGGGTACTACAGTGCTAATGCCCCTCAAAACCCCGAGGCCATCGGGCCGGGCGCCGTTAGAGCCGGCCTTTCACCCTGCTCAGCGCGGAGGGCGCGGGCTACGCGGGCGCTAACGACGCGGAGCGCAGCGCGGCTCGAGGCTCCTCGGAGCGCCGGGGCGGCCGCGCTCGGGGCCGCTCGCACCT